AAAGTTATGTGTTCTGTTTACATATATTGTAAAAAGTTTAAGATTCTGGCAAATTTAGTATTTAAATACCCTTCACTTATTAAGATTGTTTTAAAACAACGTCAGTGTATATTTGTTGCCTGGTTAGAAAATTAGAATTTTCTAAAAAAAAATAAAGATTTTTACCTGTTTGTCTTAATATAAACTGAAAAATTCTTTAGTATATTAAAATGAGTATACCAGATTTATACATATTATTCAAGTCCTACAACTGTGGTTATTAAACCAAATAATTTCACCTATATAATCATTTTTACACACTTTATACAAAATTACATCATTCTAAAATTAGTTTAAGCACTTATAGTAAAAAATAAAAATCCAAAAAAAAAACCAAAAACTTAAGTTTTAATTAGCACCCAAAGAGTAAAAACAACAAATAAAGTCATAAAAGAAGGCAGGCACGAATGTGTCGGCAAATGATTTAAAAACATTTCTTATACGACATTAAATAAAGATTAAGTTACAAAGAAATTGTTATTATTCTGTTTAGTGCTTGATAACCTACTAAGTATGTACGTTTGTATTCATTATTGTAATTATATTTTAACAAACTTACATACTAACTAGAAAAATAAAAGGTCAAAATGTCTCTTTCTTAAGTATCATAAGGTTTTTCTAAGAAAGTTTTTTCATATAAAATTAAAAATAAAAATTCAGTACTTATTCAAAAATAAAAATTTTAATATTTTTTTTTTTCTTTAGAGAGCGAGTGAATTAAAATTAATTAACGAGTTAATTTTGACTCTTTTGTATTCTTTTATATACCAGGGCTAAATTTAAAATTTTATATTTTCTTTTGCCTTCTACACATATTTTGCTTTTTTAGGTTATGGTCTTGAAAATTTGTGACGGTTAGTTAAGACTTTTTGTTAAAATATTCTCATTATCGTCATCAATGTGTACACTTTTGTGTTTCTTCTAATTTTTTGTTATTTTATTAATATTTTTTTTTAAATGGGCAAAATTTGAAATTTCTTTAATTATCCCAACAATATGGTGATAATATTAACGTATTTTTAAAAATATAAAATTATTTTTTTCTATTTTAAGTTAATAGAAATGGTTGTTTGTGGCTGGAAGCGAAAAAAAATAATTTTCTTAAACACAATTGTGGTTAAAATTTTTTAAAAATTATTTTATAAAATATTTTATTGATAGCTATTCACAATTTTAAAAAATGTTTTAGAAAATTATATTTGATCTTACTGCCCCGATTTTCCTGTAAAAATCTTATAATTTGCACATAAAAGTTACAAGAGCTAGGCAAATTATATCAAAGAGTTGGTGTATTCGATAATTCAGTTCTAACTTTAGACTTAATTTAAAGTATGCTCGATAAATTCAAACTGCAAAATCTGCAAAAATATCACGTTTGAAAATTACAATTGTGTTTAAAAATCTAAAGGAATTTTTAAGTTTTTTTATAACTACTGCAAAAATATTACAAATTAGAAGCAGAGCATAATAGAAAAATGTTGGATATTAAAGAATTACTCGAGTATGTATTTTAAATTTGCAAAAGGAAATAATATTCAATTTGGGCAGAGTTTTTAGTACTTATGTGTGAAACAGCAAACTTTAATAATTTTTCGGAAATTTTTTGCGCAAAGTACAAAAATTTGACCACCTATTTTTCTCTAATTTCCCTCCTTTTGCTTTGCGTTTGCTTTTAAATAAAACTCAACTGTATACGAGCTTCTTTGCAATTATTTTGTAGAAATTTTCTGTAAATAAACGCTTAATTAAATTTTCTGTAAATGGGCCAGCAGTTTATGTCTAAAACAAAAAAAAAATATTTAAAATTTAAGCCCGCAAAATTTTTCGCTTGAAATATTTTTGAAAGATTTTATATAAATTTTAACTTTTTCATTTAAAATTCAAAAACTTTAACTTGAACCTTGAAATCAATTTTGATTTTCAAAAAAAAAAAAATAAAAACCTCTAAAACTATTATAATGTTGTAAAAAAACACATTTAGATAAATAAATAATTTAATTATTTTTAATTATTTTAATATTTCTCTAAAATAAAATAAAAAGAAAATATTTTTAATCTATTCAGTAGCAGAGATTGATAGTTGACTATCATTGGTTGGTTTAGCCATCACGCATACTTTTGTAAGCTTCCGTTATATTTCTTTTCTTTTTATTTTTTTTTTCTGTTTGTTTTCAATATAACCTAGTATTGTGTTTTAAAGAAATAATTTTTTTTTTACGAAATTACTAACTGTATAATGGGTACTTCACAATAAGATAATTTTCAAAAATTATTTTTTGAAGATGAGCGTATCTTCTTATCTTCATTAAATGATTTTAATCTTTAAATTCGTCATAAGATGAGATCAATGGAACAGTACACAAAAAAAAAGTTTTAAGTAATTCAGTGTTGCCATTTTAGTGAAATTATTTTTTCTTCTCTCTTTTAATTATATTTCTTATAGTGCTTATAATTTAAATATTCGCATATTTAATTAGTAATTACGCTAAGTAATTACATAAATTAAAATTCTATTAAGAGAATTTGATCATTGTGTGTCTAAAAGAATTGTTGAAAAAAAAAAACCTTGAGGTAAAAGCAGTTTTGACAGCAGAACTTAATTTACACTTGAATGGTAACAGAAATGACAAATAATATGAGTGACAAAGTTATTTAAATTCTAATTAAGAGTTTTTGATAATTCAATTTAAATATAGTTAAACAAGCTATTTTGTTTTAAATATTTGACTGGCCAGTTTGGTATTACGGTTCGATTCCTATTATCGGACATATTTGCAATATTTCTTATTTACATTTAATTTTTTTAAGTAAGTACTTATTATTAACAAATCAAGTAATAATTTATTAAATATTTTTTATAATTTATTTTCGATATCGCGCAGTGGAAATATTATCGTTGAAATGAAGTCTTCGAAAGATATCCCAACCGATTTATTTAAATTCAAGTAAAATTTTTTAATTTTGACATAAATTTGACATTTATTAGTGATACAAGTGTTCTGCTCATATTAAATACGTTACGTTTTGCATTACTTACATATTTACATAAATATTCCTCGTAATTACCATAAGATTTACCATAATTAGGAATAAACTCATAATTGAACAAAAATATTAAAGAATAACCAACCTTAGATTTGTTTAAACAAAAAAAATTTTTTAGATTAAATAATTTTGTAAAGTTCTTTTGCAAAGTTCTCTTGTAAACAAAAGACTACTTAACCTAAAATATTTTATTTATATTTATTTTAATTACGAGTTTAATAAATAAAATGCAATTATTTTCATTCTTTCATTTAAAAGGAACAAAGAATGTTGTATAGTTAGTGTATAACAACTAACATCAGCACTAATTAAAATTCATAAAAAAAAATATTAAAAAAGTAAATAAAAAATGTGGTCACACTTAATTGTAAAATTATTTTATTGCATGAATTCTATTGTATAAATTTAAATACTAATACAAAATTACAATTATTACAGTTTATTTACTCACTTGTGTATATTATTAAAACAAGTGCTTACCTTTGTTATTATACACTAGTAAAATACTTAATCCAATACACTGCAAGTATAGTTTAGCAATAATTAACGCGTAAAGTACAAAGACATTTCTTGTACTGAAACTCTTATGATGTGCTTGTTTGATCATTACAATACAATGATTATTACTCATTCATATCGTAAGTATTTTTACCTTGAGCTTCAATTTTAAATTTTTGTTTTTTTATTGGGATTTACATACATGTACGTTACATGTACGATATATGTATGAAACAAACCTATTATCCAGTCAAGTATACAAAAAAAAAATTATTAAAATTATACAAAATACAAAATTTTTATTTATATGAAAATTTATATAAATAATGTGAGGCAAGAAAATAAAAGAAAATTATGGCACTTATGCTATTGAATTAAAAAGTAATAAAAAAGGACGTTAAATTTTAGTCCTTCTGAAATGTAATTGTTATTGATGAATCTTTGTTAATTACATGAACTTTTATTTAATTAAACAGTTAATTATACAATTACCATATTTTATAATTAAGTATTTATATACAATTATAATAGTTAATTATTTTGCCTAATTGTAATAGAAGAACCTGCTGTTAGAAATTAAGAATTAATTTAGAAATTTTTAAATATTTTTAAGATTTTAGTTCTATGTTCGCTATTTTGTTATATTATTTTTGGTCAATTTGCTATTTATATTGATTAGAAAATTAAATTGAAAATAAGGTTGAAAATTAGGTGATTAAATTGAATCTAAGCTAAAATTGAAATGGAAATATTTTAAAAATAAAATGACAATAAAGCATTAAGGGTTTTAATAAATTGAAAAGTTTAGTGACTTGATTTGTTTAAAATCGAATTTTTAAGTCATAAGTACACTTATTCATATCAGTGATAATAGCTGTGTTGCTTAGCAATTTATCTTTCGAATAAAATCTACTTACCCACCCACATGTTAAAATATTTCACATTTTAAGTGCATAATTTATTAAAATTAACAATAAATGGTATAGTTTTGAAGCGAGGTTATTTATTATGTACAACAAAGTATGTTCAAATAATGTGAAATTTAAAAAATAGCTACAATTATTTGTGTTAAGTTTAAATATATGAAACAAACCAAATAAAATATTATCCCTTTTGTATTATAATACAAAATATAACAGTCCCAGAGTTTCATATCGAAATAATACTGTCATTTAACCTGATTCAGCTTAGAAACGTAATTCAGCGTAACCATAAATTTCCGAACAGAATTAAAAAAAATGCCACATACCCATATAGCGCTAGTAGTTTTTTAAATGTGCAATATAAAAATAATTCAGTATTTAACATACTTTTAGGCTCTTGACTATGAAAATTATTATTTACTATTCTGAAATAATGTAAATGCAGAATAATTATTTAATTTTCTATTTTTCTTTTTCAGATACTTAATGTTATATAAAACGAGACGACCATAAAATTAAGAAAGCAACATTTAATCTTTTTTTTTTAATAATTTTTTTTTAACTTCATAACTTCAAGTACACACACACTTATATATTTATACACAAATTAAATACTTAAGGAGTTTTATTAAAAAATTTACACATCTTTTACACATCGATGTACAATATTAATATTTTAACAAAGATTACAAAAGAAAAACAAATAAAAGTAAAATAAAATATAATATAAATAAATGTAAATAAAAACAATGGATTAAAAAGAAGAAGAGGGCAATGTTTGAACGTTTACATTTAGGAAGATTTCGAAGTATTAAAAATAATACAAATAATAACAATAATAATAATCAACAAAATCAAAATCATCAATTAATTAATAATCAACAACGTCATTATATTCATCAACATCACCATCATCATCATCATTTTCAACAACAACAACAACAACAACAGCAGCTACAACAACAGCAACAACAACAATATCAAAATCAATATAATAGCAGCAGTGTACGAATTATAGAACTGGCGCGTGATAAAAAACAACGATCACAATGTGTCACGGTTATGTTTTTAGATGACACACAGCACACCTTTCGAATTGAGGTAAGAATTTTAATTGTTAAAACTAAAAATGAAAACAATACAAAAAATATGTAAATAAAAATAATCTTAAGCATAAATTTTTTTTTTTAAAACAAAAGAAAATTTTTTGTATTTTCAAACATAAAAAATGTCGTGTATTTAAATTGTGTGTTTGAACACACACAATTTAAATACAAATACTTATACTATGGTTTAAAATTTTTAACTAAAAGATACAAACTCATAAATACTTTTAAGTAAACGCAATGTACATGCTTACATAAATACATGCTTGTACGAATGCATGAAAGTATTTTACAAATTTTAGATATTCAAAGAAAAAAAAAGAACAGCACCTACGCTGACATGATTGGGTTCCTTTTTTTTTTTTTTTTTTTGTAATTTCATTTTCTTTTTCTTATTCTTATTTTCTTTACTCTTTTAGTGCTCGTGTGCTCTACCTTAAAGCAAAAACTAAGAGAAAATAGTTTTTTGAATGCCGGTTTCGTATACGATTTGTATTAGTAAACTATAAAAGAAAAAAAAACCAATAATAAAATAAGAAAAAAGAAAAATGACTAAATTGATAACACCATTTAAGGCTGGAATCAGTGTAATCAGCCGAAGTTATTGGTGCCGCCAACACCGTTGCTTTAGTCTTCTATTTAATGATTATTATAATATCAACAATGCTATTATTATTGTGAGTGTTGGTGTGGTCAATCTATATTTATATTTGTTTTCATATTACATACATAAATACATATACGTTTTTGCTTTATATATGTATTCTTATTAAAATTTTATGTAATATAATAAATACAGTCGAACTTCTGTAATTTAGATTTTTACCATAGAATCTCTCCTTTTCTCTCTGTCAGTTTTCTAAATTATTCCGTGAGTCACTTGAATTGCAAACATTTTAGTGTTTTGGTTCAATGTAAAGAGTTTTTATGTTTTATTTGTACTAATATAAAAATAGATGCTGACAAAATTAAAATATGTGCTGATAGTAAACAGCACATTTATTATTTTGTCTTTAATTTTGCCAACAATTTTAGATCGCATCCCAAGATAATTTTTTCCATTTTCACAAATTTGATTTTGAATACAGACATTTCGTTCACTTCACTAACAAAAATTTGTGATCAACTTCAATCTAATGTTTTTTAACCTATTTTGATTGTTCCTATATACTCGTAACAGTCAATGAAGTACAGGTACCGCCTAGTACAAAAAAACATTGAATAACAAAGTTTTTTATTAAGCACAAGTATAACGTTTACAAAAGTTCGACTGTATCAGGTTTCATTTTTCTGTTTTAAAAATTTGCTTCTTATCATTTAAAAATTGTGATGACAAAAAAAAAAAAGACTTTCTTTTCTAAAAATCGTTTTATTTATTGAAATTATTTCATTTTTCACTTTTCTTTATTTTTAATAATTTAATAGAAACGTGCTAAGGGATCCGAAATCTTAGATCAAGTTTTTCAGTTTCTTGAGTTATCAGAAAGAGATTATTTTGGTTTATTATTTCCACAGAAACCTGGTGAAGTTGTGGTAAGTAGTTTGTTTTCGTTTTTTTTTTTCTCAATTTTAAACAGATTTGTAATAAATTTCTTTATTTTATTTGTATATATTATAGCGATGGGTTGATCCAAATAAGAATTTTAAAAAACAATGGAATAACCATGTTGTTAGAGATACCGATTCAATACCATTATTAGAATTTAGAGTTAAGGTAAGAAAAATTAATTTATTATTTTGATTAAATATTAAATTTCAATATTATTAGTCATTTTATTAATAAATTGGGAACATTTTTCATATTATTCATATTATTGTTTATAGTTTTTCAATATTACTTAATAGTTAAGGTCTACTGGTTTGAAAATTACATACATATACTTATATAAAATAATTTTAACTATAAATTGTAGTGGTATTACGTAATTCCACTAAAAATAAATACCGCAATACTTATAAATTACTACGATAAAATATTTTCAATTAAAAAAATTTTAGATTTTTGTATTGTTACAAAAAACTTTCTTTTTGCGGCATTTATTTCACATGATTCTCAAATGAGCATCTATTTTTTTAATAAGCGTTTCTAACTCACTTTTAATATATTTTTAGTTCTTTGTTAGTGATCCAAGCCGATTACAGGAAGAATATACCAGATATCAATTTTATATGCAAATTAAACGTGATATTTATTTGGGAAAATTGCCATGTTCTTTGAACACCGCTTGTTTATTGGCCAGTTATACAGTTCAATGTAAGTTGTTAATGATTATTAATTTTTATATTTTTTTTTAAAAAAACTAGTTGTATTAAAAAATACAAAAATATATTTTCTTTTTTTATTTTAGCTGAATTAGGTGATTTTAATCCAATTGATCATCAACCTGGTTATTTAAAATCAATGCAATTATTACCAGATCAAACTGATGAATTTGAACGTCGAATTTCTGAATTACATAAATTACATCGTGGTCAATTACCAGCTGATGCTGAATATAATTATTTAGAACATGCAAAACGTTTAGATTATTATGGTATTGATTTTCATAAAGCAATCGATTCATGTAATCGTGATATACAATTAGGCGTAACATCAATTGGTTTATTAGTATTTCAACATAATATTCGTATTAATACATTTTCATGGTCAAAAATGGTTAAAGTTTCATTTAAGCGTAAGGATTTCTTTATACAATTAAGAAGTGAACCGGTAAATAAAATCTATAGAAATTTAATTTTCGATTATGGAACGTTAACTTTTAATTTTTATATTTTATTTTAGTCTGAGGACTATGATACATTATTAGGTTTTACTCTTGGATCTCATAAACATGCCAAAGCTTTATGGAAATCATGTGTTGAACATCATTCATTCTTTCGATTAAAACGTCCTCACCGTTTACCAAGATTTTTAAATATAACTCTTGGCTCTAAGTATGTATTCTATTATATTTTTTAATTAATTAGTTTTAAAACTTAAAAATTTCCATCACAATAAAATCTAATTTTTAGATTTTACTATTCTGGTAGAACGGAGCTTCAAGCTGTTCAAGAAAGTAAACAACGTGGTAAAATATCAAAATCATTTGCTAGGTCCCCTAGTAAACGTTTAATAAACGGAAGTGGAGGTGGAATTATGTCCTCACCAATTCCACTACATTTAAATGGTGGCACATCAGACAGTAATGGAACATCTTTAAATGGAAAAAGTCAACAAAATACATTATTAACATTAACGAAAACTTGCCGTCCCCACGATAATAAAGTTACTTCAAAAGAAAACGATTCCATCCCCAGAAAAGCATGGGAACAACAAAGTGACGAGTAAGTTAAAAAAATAAAATTACCATAATCAAAAAAAAATTTTATATATGATTTAGAACTTTATACAGGGATCAAGGATATATTGAACAATTAGCACGTAGTTATGAATCACCGATTCCTCCAGCCTATAGCTCTGGGAATCATAGTCCACAGCTTCCGTCCGAAGAAAACTTAGTTACAATACATTTGAAAGCTGATGAACATGGGCGTTTCGGATTTAATGTTAAAGGAGGTACTGATATTGGATTACCGGTACAAGTGTCAAAAGTTGTTCCAAATACCCCAGCCGATCGTAGTATTCCAAGAATATGTGAAGGAGATGAGGTTATAATGATAAATGGTCGTCTTGTTAATGATTTAGATCATGAGCACATAGTTAATTTAATAAGAGCTTCTCGAGAATACAGAAATGGTGACCTTATATTAACGGTCAAACAAAATTCGCTAATTGCGAAATCGGAAGAAGAAGAGCCTTTATATCAGTACGTTCCAGAGAATGATGAAATTGGATCCCAAAATCTTCTTGATGGCGATGCTCTGTTTCATCAATCCTTACTTTTGTTAAGAGACGGTTTAGGTTCTGGAGCACTTTTAACACAATACGAACAAATGTATAGAAAAAATCCAGATTTAGCAATTACAGAAGCTAGAAAACCTGAAAATATTCCCAAAAACCGTTATCGAGATATATCACCATGTAATTATATTTTTCCTTTTTACGTGTGCAATTAAAAAAAGTGTTTTTTTGATAATTTTAGATGATTGCACGCGTGTTGTTTTGATTAATAATAATTCTGGAGATTATATAAATGCAAATTATGTGAATATGGAAATACCTGGAGGTGTAATAAATCGTTATATTGCAAGTCAAGGGCCATTATCAACAACAACAACAGATTTTTGGCGTATGGTACAACAAGAAAGTAGTCATTTAGTTGTCATGCTTACAACCGTCATGGAAGCTGGACGTCAAAAATGTCATCAATATTGGCCGGGTAGTGGTGATGAATTAGATATGGGAGATGGATTCTCCGTTAAATGTTTAAGTGAACAACCAGATGAAACTGGTAGTTTTGTTTTTCGTGAATTTATTTTAAGTGATAAAAAAACAGGTGAAAAACGTTCCATCCAACATATGCAATACTTGGCATGGCCAGATCATTGTGTTCCGCCCGATCCGAATTTATTTTTAGAATTTACAGAACGTGTACGTTCAGCACGCAGTAAAACATTGTTAAAAGAAGTAGAAGAAAGTATGAAACAAGTTAAAATACAAGATGCTGATGCTGATTCTGATACTGGTTTAGAGGGTGAACGTAAAGGTATGGCGAGTAATGGTGAAACACCAGAAGATGAGACACCAGTTTCAACAAGCGTTCATCAGTAAGTTTTTTCAAGTTTTAGATTTTGTAAAATAAATGTTTAATATTTTAATTTAATTATTTTTAAATAGGGTAATCAGTGCTGCGAATCCTCCTGTTATAGTACATTGTTCGGCTGGTATTGGTCGTACAGGTGTTCTTATACTTATGGATACTGCCTTAGCTTTGATGGAAAGAAAAGAGCCAGTATATCCTTTGGATATTGTTCAAACTATGCGAGATCAAAGAGCGTGCATGGTTCAAAATGTTGTAAGTATATTAATTTTATTAATTTTTTAAATGTACTATGTTTTTTTTCAATTATTTTATAAATTTTTAGAGCCAATATCGATTTGTTTGTGAATGCATTTGCGCAGCTTATATAAAAATGTCAAAAGTTACTGTTACAGAAGGAGAAGATCAAGGTGAACAAGAAGAAGAAGAAGAATAGAAACGTAGTGATTTGATGAAATTATGAACATTTTGCTTCAATATTAAAGATAATAATTTTTGTAGAGAAAAAAAAAAGTAATGTATTTATAATTATATTATCAATATTATTATTATTAATAATAAATAATTGAAATTGTTTGAATTTATTAATACATACGAATAGAGAAAAATTGACTAAAGTAATGAAATATATATATTAAAATATATATAAAATTTATAATTAAGAGAAAATCAGGACATTTTGTTAGTTTTTAAGAATAGAAAAGTTTTTGTAAGAGTAATTACTTTTGCTTTTTATTAAAATTTTCATTAAATAAAAGTTTTTTTTTTTTCAAATCAAATATTTGCATAGAATTTATATATGCACCACGTCACAGAATCAATTTAACACTGCCGAATAAAATTTGTGGATTTACTTATTTATTAAAAATTATAAATACATTTTTTTTTTTCAAAATTTTACAATTTGAACTATTTTAAATAAAATTATAGTTTTTTTTTAATAATAGTATTTATCTATCTACTTGACTTGATGATTTAAAACAAAAATATGTAAGTTTGAAAATTTGTTTCAAAAACAGATAAAAATTAAAAGTTTTCATTATTACAAAAATAATAGTAACGGGCAACTTTTAAGCTCAATGTTTTATATATAAAAAATAAACGTTTATAGTTTTCACATTTAATTTTTTGATTTTGAATATTTTTTGTAATTATTATGTGTAATACAATATTACGACGACTCAATATCATTAAAAGTGTGTATTAAATTTATGTTGTAGTTGATCATTTTTAGAAATAAAAAAAAAAAAGAAAATTAAATAAATTTTTTTTGTAAAATGCAATAACATTATTTAAAAAATAATAACTATAAGAATTTTTCGTGTACACCATATTTTTCACATTAAATATTTTTTAAACACTTCTAACAACACCAGAATTTCTATTAAATGCAATTTATAGTAGTTAAAAACAATAGATGTTTTGAAATCTTTTACTCAACATGTGATACTACATTTTAAACATATTATTACTAACTTAAAGTTTTTAAAGAACATTATTTTTTATTTAGCTTTTTTTACTTACTTTTTCAAAAGAAAGGTAGTAAGTTATGTGTGTTCGTACAAAGCAAATTTAAAGTGCAAATTCATTCAAAGGAATATCACGCCACTCCGATATATTCGAAAAAAGTGAGAAGATTTTATTGGAAAAAGTTTAATTATTTAATTTGAAAAATTTCATACATAACTAACTAAAAAAAATCAGAGTTCTGATTTGTAAATTACCAAAAAAAGTGAATTTAAAGCGTAACTTACAAAATGAGGTTAAACAAATAGTTCATTAATTTCTAAAATAATTTTGTGTTATAATATTAATTACATTTTTAAAATTATAAATAAATTTCCAAATAATGAAAAATATGACGATGTAGTATCATATATAAATTTTTATCTTAATTCTCCGATTTAATCAAACATAATACAGAATAAAATTAATAATTCATTTTAAAATTAAATAAATAGTTAAAAGAATGATTTATTATAAAAAGAATGTTTATTGTGTGTCATTTAAGTGACTTCTAAAAATGATAAGAACGTTGAAAGTATTTATAAAAAAAAAAATAAAGTTATACAAAAATTTAGATATTGTAATAGAAGACAACTATAGGTATTAAATGTATGTTTTATTTAATAAAAATATATTTTGTAATTAAAAGTTATAGAAATAAACAACAAAACAAAAAAAAAGATAAGAAACTAATCGTACCAATCAAACTGAATATCTTCTCAGTTTTATTCAATTATTTCAATGTTTTTATATAAATGAAAGTTTAAAAGATACAATAAAAATTTGAAATTCAATAATTTTTGTTTTATTTGAAAAACTTAATTTATTTGTTGAATTATAATTATTTCAAAAGAAATTCAGCAAATCATTCCTTTTAATTTTTACAAATTAAAATGGAATCATATTCACCCATATCTGCTAGTTGTATCGCGTAGAAACGAAACGTAGCATGAATTGATAATTTTCTATTCTAATAGACGTAGACGCGATAGTTGAAATGATGCTGATTTTCTTGTGATGGTAAATGTCAAAATTATCACGTGAGGCTATTTTTGATAACCATTGCTCATCACATGATAATAATTTAGTTGTAGACATCTGATTTATTTGAAAAGCACCTAAAAAGGTGCTCAATTCTCCATAATATTAACATAACAGCATATATTAACATAAGAGGATCGTACTGTCATACTGACAGCTAGGCAGATATCTTTTAAAAGATTGTTTATTATTTAAATTATTATTTGATATGTTCTGTAATCTGGTCGGTAAAAAAAGTAACTTAATCATGTCAAAAGAAATGAAAAACGAAATATTTAATAATTGAAAAACTCGCCTAGTTTTCGTATTATTCGTTCATTTTGACGTCAGTACGAAAATTAGACTGCTGGTGGTTTTTTTGACAGAAAAAAACTGAATTCAGCTTAGAAGTTTAGACTTTCAAATTTTATGAAAAGAATGTGTAAATGTAACATACATATTATATTTTCTTACAAATTACTGAAAATTCTTGGTAAATTCAGATTATGTATGTACATATGTATATATTTCTGAAAATTTAATATTATCAATAAAAAACATGTAATTAAATGCAATTCACAATACCTGGCGTTCTCAACAAAAATTTCTTTTACAAAAATCGCTCACAAATCAACATACTGTATAAATATTTTTTTCATCTACTTTATTATAATTAAGTAAAATAAATCAATTTAATTTATTGATAAATAAATTTGTATAAAGTTTTTATATTTTTTATTTAAAATTAAATTTTTTCAATTTGCATACATTTTTTTCATATTTTTCTATTACATTTGTCAAATATATAAAATTTTTGACATTTTTCTTATTCATTTTGAATTCAATATTAATATTAAAATACATTAACTATGGCCACACCATTTTTTCATATATGAATACTTTAAAATTGTCATTTATTATGACATTTATGAACAGTTTCAGAAACTCTGTTACAAAATCTAAACTTGACACAATTCTATTGTGAAAATTTCACAAAGGAAAATCTTTTTGAAAATATAAATAAGAGTTTTTTTTTTAATATTGTGTTTTTAATTAGTTTTCAGATATATATATATATACATATTATATTTATATATATGGACAACATTTTGAATTAATTAAAAACTTTTTGATTTGAATTAGATTTTCTAATCAATTTTAAACATTTTTAAATGCTGTGAAATAGAAAAAAAAAATTTTTTTTCCTCATATTAATTTTCTGTAATAGTTTTTTTTTTTTCTCTTGTAATATAAACTTATAAAAAAAAATATGACGTAAAAAGATTTTTTGCAATAAAAAAATTTGTGCAAAAAGAAAATTAAAATTTTTTTTGTTTTTGATGTCGATTAAAGTATATTAGAAATTTAATATTTTCTATTTTAAATTTTATTGATTGGAAAACAAAAATTTTCAATACAAAGCAGGAAGAAAAAAAAGATAGAAACTAGTTAAGAACTTACAGCTGATGGATAAATATTTAATTAAAAATAATTTCAGATACAATAACCTTCAGCAGAGATTTTTAAATTACAAACAAAAAGATTTGTGAAAAAAATTTATTTTAATGCAAGTTTTTTTTGTAAGGGAAGAATTAATAATTTAAGGTATAATAAGTAACTATAAAAACTAATTTAAATAATTAATTATTAAAATGAAAAATTTGCAAAACACAGATGACAAATTTTAATTAATACAATTGAATTATATTTTGGTTTTTCTCTATATTGGTCTAAAGATCAATGATCCCTTCTTTTGTGTAAATTTTTTTTTTGTTTGTGAAATTCATTGATTTTATATTATTAATTTAATTAACGTTTGAAAAAATTAATTTGGTGCCTACCTACTATGAATAAATAAGTAATCAATAAAAATTTGGGAAATTTTATAGAGCACATACCTAGATATTTTAAATAGAAAACGTAGTAATATAGGCTAGTATCCTTTAGCAATTTTTTTTTTCCAAATTCCCTCATTAATTTGTATATTGAATTAATGAAAGAAAATTTATGTTAGGCACGAACATTATTATAAACTTCGGTGAAAATATTTATTTACTTATATTATTTCGATATATACATATGTATACCTACCTATAATATACATAGGTATATGTATGTATATTTATAATTACGTATCTAACTACGTTCAACTTTAATCTTACTGATTTTAAATTAAAAAAAATAATAATTTATTAGAGCAAATAGGATGGAGAAAGTTTTGAAAATTATTTTTCGATTCAATGAAGTTTTTAATATAACTACATACATACATGTATGTATATATACATGTAAAATTATGTAGATTATAAATATAGTTATTCTTCGAAATTTTATTTTATAAGACTAATTATTATAAAAATTAAAAAATTTCTTAAAATCTAATTAGGTAGAAAATAAAGAATATTGGGGCTATTATTCAAATACATAAGTATGTAGGTATGTAGGTAGGTACACACATATATTTGTTAGTTATTGAATAGATGAAAGAAACTAATAATTACCATAGAAATAGAAATGTTTTTCTACCATAGGTATAGAAAAACATTCAAATTGAATGCAATTATTTAATTATTTTGATTACAGTAGTAAGAAATGTAATTTCTGTTCTAGTAAAGCCAGTAGAACAACACAATATCTTTAATGCTTTCAGAAATCATTAAAGAACATTAAATATATCAGAAATAACTCATCTGAACGACTACCTACCTATCCACATACATATGTACATATATAGATTACAATGAAGCGTAACAAATAGTATTTTCAAAATAAGAATATATTCCAAGTTCTTATCAGAGATTTGAGTATTCTTAAGAAAAATTTAAAAACACAATAAATGTATACGTAGATATTTTATAATATTTTTGGAATTTCATAAAATTTTTATAAGTAATGAAAGAAATTTTCTTATTTGTTTTTATCAGTCCCATTTCTTTTTTTTTTTTGTTTTTAGATAATTTCAAACAAGGAAAATAAAATATTTTAACGGAGAAAATTTGTGGAAGTATTAAAGAAAAATTATGAGCTGATAATCATCCACATAATGTTATAGCAAAGATAAACAAAAGAATAAAGGCAAAACCTTTTAAGTGATTTCTTTCAAGATAAATTCCCAAATTTTATATTTTAAATTATTTGAAAGGGATTTTAAAGATTAATTGACGATTTAAATAAAATATTGAAAACTTTATAAAAACATATTGTAAGTATAAATTAATTTTCGAATTCAATTGAAATTTCAAAATTAATTTCTAAATTGTATTTCAATTTTTTTTTTCAGATACAATATTTATCTTAATTTATTTGTTTTGAATTAAAAAAAAAAAATTCGACTAATTTGTGATCAAAATGGGCAATTGTTTTAAAAGATCAACTAATGATGACGTTTCACTATTAAGAGATAGTAATAATGGTAGAGATTCATCATCAGATCAATTAGGATCTATACCACAGATTTATTCGGTATAATATTTAGTTTAAATATTTAGATAAATGTTGTCTCAATTATTTAATATTTGATTTATATCAATTCACAATTGAAATGTTGAAAAATAATAAAATATAAATATTAATTTTTAATTATATTTTAGGAGATTATGCAACCTGTATTTTATCCATCACCATCTGTTAGCCGTCCAGCATCACATTTAACTGAAGAGGAACAAGTTAAAATAGCAAAAAGAATTGGTTTAATTCAACATTTACCAGTTGGAACATATGATGGATGTAAAAAATCTAGGGAATGTGTGATATGCATGATTGAATTTTCTGTTGGTGAAGCTGTACGTTATTTACCTTGTCTTCATATATATCATGTTAGTTGTATTGATGATTGGTTAATGAGAAGTTTAACATGTCCAAGTTGTATGGAACCAGTTGATGCAGCACTTTTAACTAGCTATGATAGATATACTAGAGGATCATAGACCAAAATCAAATACAAAAAAAAAAAAAAAAAATTGATACCTACAATTTTTTTCTTTTAATTTTTTTTTTTTTTTTTTTTGAAGAAATTTATATAGCAATTAAAATATATTATATTTCTTCATTAATATTATAATATATACATTTTAGATTATTTTATGGATTTATAAAATATTTATATGTATATATATATATATATATATATATATATATATATATAATATACAATTTGCGCATATTTATATATATATATATATATATATAAAAATTTATCTGTATAAATATTAATGTTTTATATTAATAATTCTTTGTTTCACAATATTTGATTTTATTATTATTGTTAGGTCTTTATTATGAAAAAGTAAAACAGCAAAAAAAAAACAAAAAAAAAAAATAAAAAAAAAAATATTTTAATAAGAGGATTTTCCAATGTGAAAAAAGTTTTGTAGACCTTTTTCATAGTATTATTTTATAAGAAGACGAAATTCAGTGCTGAGCGCAGAAACTAGTTTTTTTTTTCTTTTGTGAATTTTGGAATTTTTTTGGTAATCTTTATTAAAATTTTAATAAAAAATATATTGCAAAAAAAAAAGTAATTATTAGGATTCACGTATATTACTACTAATTTTTAATTAAAAAAAATAATTAAATATTTTTTGGAAAAGGTCTCAACAAAAATGATGTGTTTTAATTTTATTTTACTTTTTTTGTCATTTAGAATCTCTTCTATGAAAAAGTGATAGTTAAATTATATAGTATATAATATCATAAATATGTATGTTTTAATTTTAAGTTAATTACATTTGATATAATAAAAACATATTAATATATTTAAAAATATATTCTTTTATTAAAAAAACAAACAAACAAAAAACCTAATCAGCATTAAAACTATTTTACAAATTAGTCTTATAATTAAACATGTTTTTTTTTTTGTATTGCATTCAATTAAGTTTCAGTCAGTACTAATACTTAATAATAAGAAAAATTTAATGAAAAATTTCTACATTTTGTTATTGGCTGGAACTTTTTTTAATTTAATTATCCAATTTTAACTACCTTCTATGTTACTGTTGAATCAACCATTTGAATTATAAGCTGATCATTTTTAACATCTAAATCAATTTTTTCATCACAGTTTTCATTATTATTTTTATTATTATTAATATTATTATTTTCTAATTTATCATCAGAAGAAATGCTAATATTTTGTGAATTTAAATTTTTTCCTTCTAATACTTTTTCATTTTCAATTTTTTTCTCAATATTTGATACATCAACATTATGAATTTTAGCTAAATGTACATAGTATTGTAATTTACGAATTGTTGAAAATTTACAAAATGTACATTGATGTATTATATTTGGTGCATATTCAGGATGCTTTTCAGATAAATGTTTCTAAAAATATAATATTTATTTATATGAAAAAAAAAATACATTTCTTTCCAGAGAAAGTAAATGCATACATACCTTATATAATGAAGCTTGAATTGATTGATAATCACAATATTGGCACTGATAATTTTTATTATTGTCATCAGAATGTCTAGCTTTATGTTTTTTAAAACTGCTTGGATTATTTGTTGAAAATTCACCGCAATCACATACATATTTTGGAAGTGTATCATGAATTGCCATATGAATTTTTAAATATGATTTTGATGAGCATACTTTTCCACAAATTGTACATTTTGCTTTTTCTACTATTATTTTATTATTTGGACATACATGTTGCTTTAAGCTTTTCTTATTTGAAAACATTGCTTTACATTCTTCACATTTAACTAATTCAATTTCATTTTTTGAAAATTTTCTATGAATTCTTCGATGATTTTTTAATTGTCTTGAATTTTTAAATGCCTTTTCACATATTTCACATTTAAAATTTCTTTCATTTGAATGAATTTTACTATGAGTGTTTAGAAGTCTTGATAAAATTGGAGTTTTGAAATTACATTTATCGCAACTATATAAATCCATATCAATTAAATGTGAACGCCATAAATGTGTATGAAGTGTATTCCATGATGTAAATTCTGTTGACTTACAATTTGGACACTGCATTAATTGAGGCTTATCGCTGAAAATAAATCAAACAATTAAAGAAAAAACATCATAATATTTAATAAAATACTTAGTGTGACATAATTTGTGATATTCTAAAGTTTTGAGTTCTTTAAACCTAAATCCACAATCAGTACGGTCACATCTAAATTCAGCAATTGAATTTTCAGTTGAATCAAGTCCTTTTTTTCTTTTTTGTGTTTTTGCACCAAATGGTCTTCCTTTGTGTCTCTTTTGAGAATTTTCATGATTATCGTTGAAATTTGATTCCGTCGTACCATCTTTCATTAAATTTCCGGAAACATAAATTCTACCTTTTTCATTTGGTTTAACGACTATATTTTCAGAGCAACCTTTATCTACTTTTTTTTCAAATTCTACTAAATTCAATTTCTGGGATCTACTAGTCAAACTTTCTTTAGTAAGTAAATTGGATTTTTCGACTTCGTTGTCGATAATTTGATCAATACTTTTATGTGATTGATTTATAATATCATTATCGTCACTTTCATTAATTTCTGTATCCACCATTAAATTTGAATCTAAATCTATACTTATTTGTTCTGGGTTAAAGGAACTATTGCTTACATCTCGGCATGGAATTAACTCTTGCGAGCACACAAATAAGTCATTGTCATTTTCATCACCAATTATATCGTCTTCTGCATTGGGAGTATCTATAATTTCTTCATCGAATGACAAGTCACATCTTTGTGGGGTGTTTAAATCATAATACTGTTGCGATTGAATATTTCTTCTCTCTAAAGTTGTATTCGAGTGCCCATCAATAAAGTTATCTAAGGAATCAAATCCACCTAAAAACATTTTAAATATGAGAAGAAATTTTTAAAATAATTATAAAATATTTGATTATACCGTTATTGTAGTCTTGGTTTTCCCAATTCGGAGCAGGGGGTATTGAGGGTACTTGTAGATTATTGTTGCATGAAAAATTATTTAAGGTCCCATTATAACTTGAATTCATAGCATCGTAAGTATTACTACTATTTTCTAAATCAGAGTTTTTAGAATTTTCGGCTGAAGGATTTAAAATATTTTCAGAGAGATCTTTACTATTAGAATTTTGACTTAAATTATTCATAATATTTAATTCTGTTTTATCTAACAGATTTAGTTCATCAACCGTTCTTAAGTGCAAAAAATTCGTTGACTTTTTACTTGTATTGTCTTGGAATTGAGGTTGTTTTAGTATATCAACGTTTTTTATATAAATTTTGCTCTTTTGTTGATGGTTTCCCGGTGATTCTGTGTTTGGATAAGGGAAAGCGTTTGTGTTTGAAAATTGCACTGGCAATTGTGTGTTATTAGTTAGCGGAAAATGTTGATTTTTGGAAGTCGAAGAACAATTGTTATTAGTCACATTCAAATGAGATTGGATTGAAATTGAATTCATTGGAATCCTTTGATGTGCAGAAACACTTGGCGCTGGTGGTGGTGTAAATAAATTATTAAAAGGTAAGGTTTCATTAACATGCAATATGTTTGATATATGAGTTGAAGGCAGATGTATTGGTTCTTTGAGAATGTCCACATTTTTTATATAAATTTTTGGTTGCTTTTTTGGTTTTTCAACTGGAGAAATTTTATTTACTTGATCCTTAGGGAATGTTTCAAAATTATAGAATTCATTTGTTGAATTTGAATTATTCGGTTGAATTGACGGTGTTGGGAAACCGGTGTCCATATTATAATAAACTTGAGTGTTTTGAACCGAATAATGATCTGGATTATGTGTATTGTTGGACGTGTAAAAAGCATGTTGATAAATAGGTTCACGTAAAGTTTCGACGCTTTTTATAGTAATTTTCTGCTTTGGTTGATTAATTGGTATTTCTACAGGAGATGATACTGAAATAGGTGGAGTTTGGTTGTCATCATTAATAAGATCTATAAAGTCATATTCACTATTCAGTCTTTCATTTAAATTATTGCTATTAATTTTTGGCAATGAATTCCCAATTGATGGTATCGCATTTTCAACCTAAAATTACAAATTTATAATTTTACAAAAATATTATAGAAAATATAAAGAAAAAAAAAAACTACCTCTGTGTTTTGATTAAATGATTTTTCTCTTAAGCACTCTACATTCTTTAAATAAATTGTACTTTTTTTCTTACAAGATTCTGAAGGTGGTTCTTCGTTTGGAATGCTTTCAAGAATTTTTTCTAAATCATCTGATAACATTAAATGATCATATTCTAAATGGTATTTCAAAGATTTTTTCGATACAAACACGTTATCACAGCCGGGACATGAAATTTTATTTGGAAAATTTTCAATTATATTTTCATCATGAGCTGACGAAATATGAATATCTAAATTAGTTTGAGAAATGCACAAAAATAAACATTTTGGGCATTTGAGTAACACTGTTTGACTTGGTTTAATTATTGGTTGTGGAAACGGTATTTCAGCTTCTACTGTTGCTGAAGATATAGTTGTTAGAGCATTTGTTATTTCTGTTGCAAAAGCTGGAGTAGTTGTTCCTGATCCGGAAGACGGAGGAGTTTGGGTTGGCTGGGTTACTTGACCAGTACACTGGGCATCATTTAATTCTGATTTAATTGGTTCCGCTTTTATGTCATTCTGATTTCGATTCAAATTATTTGATATATTTAAATTATTGTTACGAGATTCAAATGCATGAATTCTAACAAAAGGTATTGTTGTTGGCAAACTATTATTGCCAATAATATTATCATCTGTAAAATTAGAATTTTGAATCTCATTATGAAGATAAGGCATATTTGGTATCAATTGCTGTTGTGATTGGTGAGTACCAATTCCATAACTTTGTGAATTTGTTAAATGTAAATTTTGTAAATCATCAGAAAACTAGAATTTATAAAAATTTTTTTTTGGAATACATGTATTTGTTGAATTCATTGTTTATATTCTTTTAATAAAATTAAATTTTACCTGACAGGAATTAAATAGGTTCTCCTCAGTTGTTATAAAATTAGAAAACTCTCCCATATTGAACAGAAATATTAAAAAAATATTATTTACATAAAGCAGCCTTACAATACAACAAATTATTAATTTTACAGTTGTCCGGTTATTTTTGTTTATAAATTTCCATATGTTTTGAAAATGAACAGCTGAGCTGACAAAATTTCCCTATCAACAAATATTTTAGACAAAAAAAAAACAAAGAAACAGATTTAGTTTTAAAAGCTTTTCAATAGATGTCTCTCTTGTCTCTATGCCACTGATTGTTGTCTTAACTATAGTTTTGTAATTAAAATTTTAAATTTAGCATAAAAGCATAGTGAAGCGTTTTCTTCATTTAGAACTACATAGTAAGAAAAAACCTTCAGGTACCTGCGTTGCATTGGAAACTTGGCATTACAAAAAATCAAGGTCTAGACCTTAGATGAAAAGAATAGCTATATTTCAACTTTTAAATACAAGCTTTAAATTGTTATGGCACCACATAAAGTAAGTGAATTCGGCAAAATTTTTTTAGTTTTAGTTTTAATTTTAATATTAAAATAGAGCTGGCAAGTGGTTTGTTCGAATTTCAATATTGCTTTTGCTTTGCAAAAAATAAATTAATTCAAATATATGTACGTATGCTGTTAGGTACAGTCGAACACGTTTTTTTGCAACTCATTTAAGCACATTTGTATTTTTTGTTGACCTGTAATTTTACTAATCAAATGGTAAATAGATAATTATATAATAAGGATATGTACATATGTATGTGCATGAAAAATATTCGCCCCGAAAGGTTGCATGTATGGATGCTCATGTTAAATTTATCGCTAACAAATTTCGTCTATTACAAAATATGTAGACCTTATCTCCGATGTAATTATTTATGTAGTAAAACAATGTCGTTTAAACTTATCGATTCAATTAGTTTCTCTCTGAATCGTTAAGTGAATTTAAGGGGGGGATTGACTGAAAAAATATTTTGTTTACGTCAGTATAAAATAAAAGTGCCTGAAACTTATTATTACTAGCAATAAAAAATAAAACAATTTAAAAAATTTTTTTTTTGTGCAAACATTAAAAATGTTAAAAAAGTTTATTTCTCTTTTTATTTTTATTATTATTATTATTATATGTAGGTTGTAGATATTAAATCTTTTTTTTTTTATTTTTGTTATATAAACAGCATTATTAATTGATTCAATTAAATTAAAAACAAAAAATTATTTGATTAGATATTATTTAATTTATAACTAAAAAAAAAAAAATAATTATAAAAATACGAAAACACTATATACATATATGTATGTATATATTATGTAAATTTTATCATATTGTATAAAATTTGAGAAAATTATAAAACAAAAAAAAAAGAAAGAAAATCCTTTCAAATATGTGCCCTACTATTCCTAATTATACCCGGAGATATCCAGTAGGTACCACATGGTTTCACTTTAATAAATATTAATTTTAATGAAAATATTCACACTTAATATTTAATAACTAAAAAATTCACACTAAAGCAATAAATCTAATATTTTGATTCAAACCAAGTGCAATCAGTGAATTTATTATAAATTTTTTTTTTTGTGCAATAGATACCACATTAAAATAACCTAGTCACAATTCATAAATTATTTGTAAAGAATATTAATTTAATAATTATTCTTTGAAATACATATTTACATATTTATTTATTCTCTTTGTACATTTTTGTGACAAATATTTAAAATTTAACGCAAAACTTTGAAAGGATTATTTATAAAATAAAAAAATTTTTTTTGTAAAACCTATTCCTTTTTAAATTTTACTTAAAAAAAAAAAATCAGCAAAAACAAATTAATTTTTATAATAATATAGTTTTTTGTACAAACTTATTCCAAATATAATAAAAGTAATTTATTGAAAAAAAAAAAAAAATAAAACAAAAATAATAATAAATAGTTTTATAATATTATTTATAAATGCCTTAAAAATTATATAAAACTCCTTAATATATAAGTACATAATCAAGATAAAAAAATATTTAATTTTTATAATGAAAACCAAAAAGAAAAATTAATGATGACTTTGAAAAGAAATCTTTGATTAAAATATTAACTAAAAGAATTCTTAATTATATAATAATTGTGATATTTATATAATATATATATGTATATACACAGAATCTTTAATGAGTTAGGCACTAATTAATTTGTAATTGATTAAATTTTCAAACAATTTAATAAAAATTTTAAATAACTAATTCATATAAGCTTGATTATGTAAAACAGATTTTATACTCGTAAAATAATAGAATACATGTTCTCTTAAGACACTCTACTCTCTAAGTCACTTAAGTGAAGGAAACAATCATTCAAATTTTTGTTAGGACACTCTTTGAGTCACTTAAGAAAATATGAATGATTCTTTTTATTACTAGGGATATGATGACATAATATTGCTTATAATTTTAAGTGATATATTCTAATTAATTTAATGGGTGATTTTTATTATTATTTAAAGAAAGAAGAAGATTAACATGAAAATAAATTTTAAATATTTGTAAATTCTTAAACGTCAAATTTTACAAAATCTGAATTGTCTGAGTTTACGAATACTCTACTGCGTTTTTACTTTCAGTCAAAGTTTAAATTCTTAAACGTTTAAAAAAGTCAATTTAAAGCGTCAAAATTGTAGATTTTTTTTTTTTTACATGCAGACAGTCTGACGTACTAATTCAGTAAATAAATTTGATGTATTGAGTGACTATCAATACGTTAAAAATAATATAAAAAATATTTTTTTTGTTAATTTTTAATATGTAAGTATAAAATTATTTTAAATCTAAAAAAAAAATTTTGTTTGTTTTGACGTTTACGGATGATTAAAAAGTCAAAGTCAATTACGGGTAAAAAGTTTACTACATTTCTGTCCGTAAAAGTTTTATACGTCAGACAGTTTGCAGACTGAAAACAAAATTTTGACGTTAAAGAATTTGCGGATTGTATTGAAAAGGTTAAAATGCATAGTTAAATAAAATATAATAATCTTATTTGAAAATTTAATTGAAAATTGCAGTTTTATGGTAAATATTAAAGTAATCTTAATAATTTTTATGAAAATTTATAAAAAATCATTTAATACGTAATATTTTTTTTTTCAAAATACGTAATATTAATTAATTTTCAAAATTTCTAAAAATATTATTGCAAAAACCAATTACATACATAAGAAATTTTATTTATATCATAAAATATTTCAAGTATTTTCAATATTTTTTTAGCCCAATTAGTTTTTCAAGAAATTCTATGCAACATTAATAAAAGTTTTATATAAAATAATTTTTCAATTAAAATAGAATATATGAATTTATTAATATTATTACATAACTCATTAAAGATCAAAGTACATACATATATATAAATAAAATATAAAATATTTTATTGTAATTAATATAGAATGAAAATTAACTACAATAGTTATGATATGCACTCAGAGTTTTTTAAATTTTAAAAACAAATTTTATTTTTTAGCTTTTTTTTTTATATAATAAAATTTAAATATATAATTTTTTTCTTTTCTTTGTTTTCATATTAAATTGTAATTTTTTTTTTTTTTGAATTTGTGTAAATTTTGATGTATAATATTTAATTAATTAATATAATATTTTATGATGTATATATAATATGTATATTATATAAAATGTAATATGAATTATAAATTTTATTTTATTTAAATTTATAATTTAAAAAAGAAATGACAATATATATACGTTTATAAAAGGTATAAAATATGTTTTGGGAGAATAAAAATTATTTATTTTTTTTTATTTCGTTTTTAAATTTTTTTTTCCTTTTCATTTATTATTAAAAAAGTCCCCTTTCTTTTTTCAGATTTGTCTGTTTCCATAATGGTAATTGATCGAATTCATCTTTTTTAATTCCGAGTGCTTCAACAAATTCATTTGGATTTAAATATAATTCTAATTTAGTTGGATCAACACCTTCTGGTAGTGGTCTTACTTTTAAAACAGAAAGTGGATATTCTGTTTGTGTTAAATCGATAAGAATTTTAGTGATTGTTTCAGGTTGTATTGGTCGATTATCCTAAAATTTTAAAAAAATATATACATAATTAAAAAATTAGAAAAATAATTGCATAAAATATATAAAATTACTTGTAAATTAATATCTTTTATGTCATCATGATATATCCAATCAGGAAATAATGAAATAAATTCAATTGGTTCAAGTCCTGCCCAAACAACATTTCCTCGGATGCCATGGAATTTTTCTTCTGAATCTCCTAAAAATGTAAATATTAAAATAGACGGTGAATAAATATTTCGAAAAATTTAAAAAAATCTTAAATTTTCAAAAAAAAAAAAAATTTCATAAAAAATAATTTCCCTAATTATAATTTATATATTTATAATATTATATGTGTATTTATATTTATAATTTACCAAATTTAGCTCTCCAATATTTTACAGCAGTTTGTAAAGCAGCTCTTCTTTCAGCAATCCATCTTGTTACACCAGCTCTATTGTCATTACTTGTTGGACTATCACGATCATTAATTTCTTTTTCAGCTTTTACTAAAATTATAATATTCGTTCTTATATACATTTCCACCTTAATTTAATAAAAAATTATAAAATATACCTTTTACATCTTCAAGTGGCCACCAACCCATCCATATCCATAATAAATCACCATTATCAATCATAAATATAGTCGGTTGCCTTGCATTGTATAATTGATTTTGGGTAAATGGGAATGGACTGCATGTTTCTTTACTTCTAAAATTATATAACATTTCTGTTGCATTAAATACACCCTGGGTACTTGAAAAATGAAAAAGTCTTGGTGTATAATCGAAATTTTTATTTAATATTGCCATTAAACTTCCATATGATTCTCGTTTTATTGATAATGTAATATTTAAAGCATTTTTAAAATCAAAATTTTCAGTTCCTTCATTAAATTCTTCGATTTTAATTTTAGTAACTATAGATATACCTGAATTAATGAATATATCTTCATATTTCTTTTCTTTAATGTCATTTGCTGCCAATTTACATAGATTTTTTGTGTGCTCAGAACATTGACTTCCGAACCAACAATAAATTAAACCCAATCTACCATTAATTAATAATAAAGAGCCTCTTGATCTCAATTGTTTAGCATCACAGTTAACTTCTTTTAATATAATTTCTGAGTCTTCATTACCCAAAAGAATCCAAAGTCTCCATTTTGATCGCTTTTGTAAACATTCATCTCGTTTCCCTTTATGTTGGAACATAATTTTGAATAAACGAACAAAAGCTGGAAATTCATCACCTTGAGCTACACGCATTTGAGATCCTTTTTCATTATCTAATTCAACTGTAAGTAAAGCAGCAGCACCTTTTTCATTTGCAGATGCATCAATACCTTGCCAACAAAAGTATACGCAACGATCTCGGCCCACCGTACTACTATGACGCGATATTTTGCCACTTAATTCTCGTACATTCACTGATATTTGATATATCCAACGAATTATATAAGATTCAGCACTATAGAAATGATTATAACTTTCCTGATTTGATTTTTCAAAAGTAGATTCGTAAACTTCCCACATTGAGATCGATTTAGTTAGAATTTCAAAATGACGCATTGTATCGTAATCATAATAAAAATTACCGCGACCTAAATTAGCGTGTTCTAAAACTAAATTTGGTTCTGTGTAAGGTTCACCTAAAATAATTAAATGTACATATTTATTTAGTCACTCATGATTATGCTTAATTATTTTACCTTTGTATAAATCAGCACCATTTAAAGCACCAATAGCAAAAATACCATTTGCTAAATAATCTTTATCTAAATCTTCACCTTTAAATTCTGGCCAATCAGCGAATTTCTCTTTGAATAAAATTGTTTCGGTATGTTGTGTAATTTTTCCAATCAAACACCATTCACCACGGTTTTCAATTGTTTTTATATTTTTATATACAACTCTATCTCCAGCAATTTTAGAAAAATTAATCGGATTTAAATAACAATTTTCGTAGTCGATACCAGATGTTTGAAACTGTTCTTGTGCTAATCTTAAGGCAGCTTGTTTAGCATCACGATGAGCACTTTTACCACTCCATATATACATTTCACCACCGAAATCAAATACAATCACTTTTTTTGGTTCAAGCATTTCTATTTTTGGTATACAACCCCAATATTTATCCATTGGTACCAAAGAATCATCTGAAAATTCATAAATTTTATTTGTTTCAATTAAACTGGCCTCAAAAAGATCATCTTCATCTGCATGTCCACTATTTGGTAATTCATAATCATCAGGTTTATTAAGTAATTTCCAAAATTCTTTCCAATGTATTGAACTTTTACCATCATTTAATACTAATTCTGTATTGCCATTAAATCCCAAATCATGATTTTCAATTATTGAAGCACAAATCTTTTTACTTCGTGCAGTTTCAATTACATTAGAAAATGATCCAACAAAACGGAAAAGTTTGTTAGGTGTTATCAAAATGAAACAATCGCCACGATTTAATGATGTGTAAATTGGTTCAACTAATCTGGTTTGAACATGTGTACGACCTTTAACATGAAGTAACATTAAAGGTTTATATGGGAGCCACATTTGATTTAAAGGTAATGAACTTGATTTTAAATTAACAGATTTAAAATCTTCAACACTGGCTAAACCTGCAATCGCTTCTGCTGCCAAATTATTTGTGCGACCGAATGCCTCTAATTTCATACGTTTTAATTCTTTTTCTGCAGCACCTGTTTTAATTTCAGTATATTCAGTTTGAAGATCTTCACGTGCTGCTAAAGCTTTAAGTGGATTTTTTGCTGCTCTTCTACCTTTCGGTCCCTGAACAACTTTCTTATTAATTAAACGTGTTGTTGATTTAATACTATCAAAATCTGAAATTTCAACAGGTTCTTCTTCTTTAATCACAATTGAATTTATTGATTTTTCATTAGAATTTGTTGTAAATTTATTAGAATCATCGGATAAAAGTTGATTAACTGAAGCTGATGAAAAGAATTTTGAAAATGTTTCTTCATCATCTAATTTTGGTACTGTAACTTTGGATCCTTTTTTCATTGGTTGACCATTTAAATGATTTTTATGATTTTCTTTTGAACCACGACTATCTGAATCTGAATCACTATTACTTGAACTACTATCACTTCTACGACCATTACCATTCTCATTTTGGCTTACATTAATACTTATACTACGTGTTAAATGAAAACTATTATGTTTATTTTGTTGCTGATTTTGAGTATTTTGGGTTATTCCATTACTGTTATTAATATTTGTTGTCGCTGTTTTTGTATTGACTAGGGACGTTACCATCATTGATGGACTTTTAGCTAAACCTAATAGGGGTTGATTTGCACTTCGTAAAATTTTTTTGTGCGGTTTACGTGAATCAATTCGTTCAAATTGTAATTTTACTGGTGATTTTGTTTGCAGTCGTCCTGCAACTGTAAACTGTGATGCATCTGATTGTTCTATAATTAAATATTTAAAAAAGGACAATAATTGTAGGCATTTATACATATTCTTGAATAAAAATTCTTATAATTCTTATAAAAATTTCTTACCAATGCGATTTTTCCAATTTTCTGATGATGATTTTAATTTTCCGACGCGCTCTTGTACATTTCCACCTTCAATTGATCCCATAATTAAATTTGATGCTGGAGCAGATTTTTCTGATAATGAATGTGCCATCGTAAGGGCATCCTAGTTATTATAAATTTAGAACAAAATTTTTATTTTTTATGAGTAATTTTCTATTGTTTTGATCGTTAAAATGAAACCAATTTATAATTACGTGATTTGTGAAAATGAGTTTACCGTATTTAGCGGAATTGTTTCTACAACATTTTGTTAAACTTGTAGAGAATTTGTTTTTGAAAAGTTTTATTTAAGCTTACGTAGTTTTAAGCAGTCTCTAATAGATACTTAATTCCGGGAATACTCACACTAATCTTTCATAACATTTTTATGTACTTTTCTATTTCAGTACAGCATTAACCAGAATTAACCAGAAATTCTACCTTCTATTATGAGCAGACAGTGAAAAATTTGATTTTAAATTAATCACAAATTTGTAATAAATGTGGATTTGAAGCGTAGTAATTTAAATTTTATTTCAGGGATTTCACAAAAAAAAAATTCATATTAAAATTAAGTGTAAAATAAATCCTAATCAAACCACCCACCATTTGTTTTTGGACACATTGCGATATTCTTCTATATTTTAATTCAATTTCATCTGTTTTTAAATTCATTTTATTTAATTAAATGTAAAAATTGTACTAATTTTACATTTTTATTTATTTTCAATTAAAAATTTTTTTATTATGTTCAATATAAAAAATAAAAAGTGTTTTTATCAGAGAGATTGTTTGTTTACTCATATTATATACATAACCTACATATAAATCGATATATAAATACATACACCTATATATAAGTATATATAGGGTCTGTTCATGTACATAAATTCATAAAAAAGACAACAGTTTATTTCACTAATTATATTAGAAACAATCTGTATTTCGCGGCATTTTTAAAATAAACATCTTCATTAGCTTAAAGTAATCATGTCAAACTCTAGGAGTCATGGATTTTTAATTTGTAATTTGTGTGCAATAATTAATAGGAGTTAGAGTGAGAGTTCAAAATTTTAAGAATGCACAAACAATAGGATTCGGGGCCATAGTCGCAAATTTAAACAATTTACAAAAGAAACACAGGTTTTAATTTTATGTCTAGTTCTGCCATCTTTTGTAAATAAAATTATTCACTGAGATCATACATAACAGCCCCATACTTTAAAATTCAGACGTTCAGTTTTTTTTTTATTTATGCATACATTTAAATTGGCGAAAAAGTATGAACATACATAATATCGGGGAGAAAAAATATTTGTAATTACTTTATGACAAAACTGTTTCGGCATTTTAAACAAAAATATCCATACACATTGCCGTTAACATTTATTAGATCTTCTCTAGCCCTACACGTATTATATAGATTAAAAATTGATAAAAAAAAACACAATATATATGTGTTTAATAATAATTCTGATTAAAAAGTTCAGAGCCAAAAGTGTTCTGATAAAAAAAATATAAAGTGGTAATTAAAAAAAAAAAATTTTTTTATTGAATTTTATTCGTAAAAATATTTAATCAATAAATTTTCATAAGAAAATTTATTATTAATAATAAAAATAAATATGAAAGTAAATAAAATATTGAAAAATTTTCAATTTACTTGAATTTCATGAGAAAGTAAAAGTTTTAATAAAGTGGAATGAAATATGTGATTTATTCTTTAAATAATTTTTCGTATCACTTAAATGAAAAAGAAATGCATTAAAATCATTTAAATAAAAATTTAATTAATTTATTATTTAAAACGAAAACAGATATGGATTAAGTAAACCATTTTTAAATTATAATTTTGTAAATTACGAACGAATTTCAAAATTTTTGTAACTTACAAACGAATCGGCTAAATGCAATATCGTATACTCTTCTTTGGAGTCGTGATTACTTATCTTATATGAATATTAAATCTTTAAACTTGTTCATATACTTAAGATATAGAGTTCTATAAATTAAATATAAATTCAAAGTGTGTTTTAAAAACATCTTCCATGAGCAGAATTCAAATCACACTTTGGAGGTCTACCAAAATGCAAATTTGACGAGAATTTTCACTTATTCAGCAATTTTAATTGTATTGATGAATTAATCAAATTAACATTAGATCTGAATTTTGAGCCACTGAGATTTAAAATTACTTATATGTTTAGCTTTAATTCTTCTTAAATTTGTTGTATCAAGGATTTTTTTCTTTAAACAATTCATTTGTTTTTTTTTTATAATTTTATTTGATAAAAATATTTTATATTTTTTATTACATTTTCTCATATGAATTTTATATAATTTTATAATAAATTGTCATTATTTATGACAATTTATGTATGAATTTTACATAATACAAAATTTTTAATAGTTAAAACAATTTTTTTATTATTATTATTTCTTTTTTTCAGTGTAGTTATCACAGTAATTTGTGTGCTTCGTTACATTTATTATTATTAACTGACTTTTTTTTTCTTCGTTTTTAATTTTAGTATGTTTTAAATCTACTTTTATATTTATTAATTACATATAAATACATGTACATATATATATGTATTTATTTCTCTTTTAATTGTATATATATGCATAAGTTAAGTATGGTTTTAGCTGCATATTTTGAATAAAAATTAAATTACTAAAATTTTCATTTAAGGAGTTATTTAATTTAAATACAAAAAAAAATGTGATTTTGATAATACAATTTAGTAATTATTGGTAATGAAAATTATTTTACAATTAATTTATTATTCAAAATAATAAAAAATTAACTATTTAGTTAATTGAAATAATCATAATACATATATTTATATATACATATAATTATGTAAATAAAAATAATACTATATAATTATAAAAAAAAAATATAAAAATTAAATAAAAATTAAATTTTCGTTATTCTCGTTTGATAATTTTATAATTTTTCGTTGTTTTTTACGTTGATCTAAAACGGAAGAGAATATTTTATATATATAAATTATAATGTTGTCTAAAAAAAAAAATAAAGTGACTATTAAATATTAAATATGGCCATTTCAATATATCACATTTATTTATTCATATATACGTATTATTTTATAATAGTAGACTTTAATTTTTCTTATTTTCTTTTAAATTAAATTTTTCAAATTTTTATTTAATTTATTTTATGAAAACAGTGATAGAGATAGAGAAATCAACTAAAAATTTTTATGACCAAAAACAGATAGTATTTTTTCTTTTATAATTTTATAATTTTTTTAATATATTAAAATTTGAATATAAAAATTGTTTACATGCAAAAATCATAAGTTTTATATTTTATTTTATATAGTTATCATAAGATATAAATAACTATTTTATAATAAACTGGCAATTAAATGAATATTTCTTTTTAAATAAACAGCAGCGGGTATGCTCTACGTAGCTGAGCTACTTATGTATGTACGTAAATTATTTTAAAAAAATTTTAATCTATTTATTTAGAGTGTACAAAAAAAAAATTAAAATTCTATTTTTAAGAGTATAGGTACATATATACTTATGATTTTGTTTTTTGCTTTTTATTTTATAATTACTAATAAATCGTTAAGGTCAAATGTATAAAGCAATTTATTTTTATTATTTAATAATTTTAAATACAAAATAAGTCATTATGAAAAGGTTTATTTTATCATGTTAATATTGAAGTCTTGGCTTTTACAAAATTTTTGGTTTTATTTGGATGAATAAAAACCATTTTATATTAATTTGGAAGTCTTAATTGTTAAGTTTTGTAAATTAATATATTTTTAATTTAAGCAAAATTAATATTAATTTAATAAACTAATACGATCTTATAATTGAAACCGTGTCATAATAGTTTATATAATAATAATAGTTTATATTATAAGAAATATAATATTAATCATATATTAATTAGATGTAAAATCATTTTTAAAATATATCAATTTTCATTTTCAAACAGTTTCTGTTTTAAATAGCCGGCTAATTTATTCAAAATAATTAAAATTTTTAAAATTAAAATTAAATTTATAAGATGGATTTGTTTAAGAAAAATTTATATAAATTTTTGTAAGAAAAATGTTTGGATACAAAGATAAGAGAAATGTGTAAAATGTTTAATTTTTAAATAAAAATTTTTTTAAAAATGAATGGGACTGCAAATGAATGGACTGCAAATTTCAAAAAACAAGCAGATCTAAATTTTCTACTGAGTATATTCAACATTTTACTATAAATTGAAAATTTAATTTATAATTCCTAATTACCTTTAACCACAATATGCTCTTTAAAACAAAAAAAAAAATAAATATTTTTTTTAAATGAAATACAATCCAAGATAAGAAAATTATTGTATTATTTTTGCCAGTTAGTTACGTAATTTAAAAATTATGATAACAATATAAAAAAGTTATACTTATTTGTTACTCTTATCGGAAATTTAAAAAATTTCTTTTGTTTTTTTGAATATTTTTCATGCATGCACTAATAGAATAATTTCAAATTTACAATTTTAATAATTTAAAAAATATAATTCATACTTTTAACTTAAGTTTTTATGTAGTTTAAATTTGTGACTTTTTATAAATTATAATTTCTTTTTTGAATAATATTAGATAAATCTAACTTAAACAGTATTTAAGTAAATATTCTCATAATTTTCTTTTTGTTCTTATGACTATGTCTAAGTAAGATTATGAATTTTTTCCGTATAGTTATAATACAAAAAAAAAATCTTTTAATCCTAGTTTTTTTTTTCTCATATAAATTTAACTAATATTTTCAAAATTAGCATTTATTAAATCATCATCTTTTAAATCACTATTTTGTAATAAATCTGATATTGAATATTGTGAAAATGGCCTAGAAAATCTACGTTGTGATAAAATTTCATCAAATGATTGAACTGGTGATGTACTTAATAATTCATTACTTATCGATAAATTACTATATAAATTATTGGTATTAAAATTAATGTTTTCATTAGAATTATTTAAATTATCATTACTGATTGTTTTAAATTTTTGATCTTTTAAGGTTTTCCCATCAGTTTTTGTTTTTGTTATTATTATTTCCGTTGTACTTTTCGTTAATAATGGTATAGCTGATATTATTGTATTTGTTTCGACTGTTGCAGTTGTTTTATATTCAATGGGTGTTACCGTTGGTTCTGATGTATTTTCTATAGCTGCTATTGTTGGTTCTGATGTATTTTCTGCTGCTGCTACTGTTATTTCTATTGCATTTTCTATAGCTGCTACTGTTGGTTCTGATGTATTCTCTGTTGCTGGTGTTATTGGTTTTATTATATTTCCTATAGCTGCCACTATTGATTCAAACATATTTTCAGTTGATTCTACTGTTGGTTTTATTGCATTTTCCATAGATGCTACTGTTGGTTCTGATGTATTTTCTGTTGCTAGTGGTGATGGTTCTAATATATTTTCTGTTGCTGCTGCTATTGGTTTAGTAGTATTTTCTACAGCTGCTACTGTTGGTTCCGATGTATTTTTTGCTGCTGCTTCTGTTGGTTTTATTGTATTTTCTATAGCAGCTACTGTTGGTTCTGATGTATTTTCTGTTCCTGCTACTGTTAGTTCTATTATATTTTCTATGGCTGCTGCTGTTGGTTTTGATGTATTCTCCGTTGCTGCTGCTGCTGGTTTTACTATATTTTCTATAGCTGCTGCTGTTGGTTTTAATGCATTTTCTGTTGCTGCTACTGTTAGTTTTATTATATTTTCTACGGCTGCTGCTGTTGGTTTTGATGTATTCTCCGTTGCTGCTGCTGTTGGTTTTATTGTATGTTCTATTTCTGCTGCTGTTGGTTTTATTATATTTTTTATGGCATCCGCTGTTGATTTTGATGCATTCTCCGTTGCTGCTGCTGTTGGTTTTATTGTATGTTCTATTTCTGCCGCTGTAGGTTTTATTATATTTTTTATGGCAGCCGCTGTTGATTTTGATGTATTTTCTGTTGCTGCTCCTGTTTCTTTTATTGTATTTTCTATGGCTGCTGCTGTTGATTTTATTGTATTTCCTATTACTGCTGGTGCTACTTTTGTTTTGCTATATAAATCATATTTTGGTTTAGAATTAATATTTCCATTACTGCCACCAAAATCGGATTCTTTTATCTTATTATTGTTACTGTGATTTCGTGATTCAACACTATTATTAACTGATGCTAAATTTTCAAATAAAGAACATTTTTGATTTTCAACATTAACATTTTCTTTATCTTTAAATTTCTCAAATTTTGATGTAAATTCGTTTTTATTGCGTTTAGCTACATTGTCTGGTACAATTTTTGTTGGAATTTTCTTCTTGTTATCATTCATATTACCATTAAATAGATTTGCAAAATTATTAATATTTTTATTTTGTTCATAATGACGATTATGACGTTGAGTTGGATTATTCTTCTCAAACATTTTTGCCATTTTTGTAACAACATTTTTTGTTCCTATTTTTGGTAGATCATTTTCAATTTGTTCGAGAGATTGCCGTCTTGATTTATATCCATTTGATTCAATGCTTAAAATTAATATTTAAAATTGTTTTTAAAATTTGCGTTTTAAATAATATGCGTAGAATTACTGAAAATTTTTGTGATTTCGAATTGTAATACGCAAAAAAAAAATGCTTTTGTTGCTTGTTTTTTATTTTATTGTTTTTCTGATTTTCCCAGGGTGTTGTCAATAGATTTTTTCTCGATCACTGATTTGCCCTCTACCGGAATAAATATTTAATATTTTCTTATCGCTTTCTTTTTACAACCTAAATTTAAATACGAGTGTTATGTTCAAAATTATACCATACGGTTAAAGTTAATGAAAATATTGCTTTTTGCATGAGCAGAAAATTTTAGTGAGTAATGTGTTTATAAATAAAAATTTACATTTTAATTCAAGGCAAAGTAAGTAACAATATTTTATTGTATTTGAATTTCCTATGAATTTGTGCAAAAAAATATTTTTCATTTCTTTGTTCTTAAATTTATTTTGTTTGGGTCTTACGCCGTAAGCCAACATTCATTAATTCCGTAACGCATTGATTATTTGATACCTGTCAGTTGTAACTATCAAAAAATCTGTTTTCCTTACAAATTTCTCCAATTTATCATTTTAAACATTTCTTCTTAAAAAAAAATCATTTAATTCATAATCAATATTAAATATTATTTGACACCCTTTTATAGGTAAATATTAAAAAAAAGCAAATAAGGACCAACAAGAACATAGAACAAAAAAATATTTTCTAACCAGAATTCCCAGAATCATATTGTATATTCGAAAATATATAATATATATTGACTTTTATGTATGTATGTATGTACATTTAAAAAAAAATTTTATCAACTAAATATACACGTCTCATATTTACATAAACTCATTAATAAAGTACTCTTACTTTTTTAATTAATTTACAATATAATAAAATTCACATGTGCTACTTAAGTCATCAATTCTCACAGATTTGTCTATGGAAAATCTCTGTTATCAACTCTACATAATAAAATAAGTAAATAAATTGAGTAATGAAATAAAAAAAAAATGAGGTTATTTAATTTTCAATATATAGATTATTAATAATTTATTTTTTTTTATTTTAATTCTTTTTACCCCATAAACAATAATGACAACCATTTAATGTCTACGTAAACAACAAGAACAAAAAAACGAATCTTAAATTACTATATTATTGTTGATTGCAATTAAAATTAATTTAAAATTGATTTAAATTTTTTTTATTTTATATAAGTACATAATAGTAATAAATATTTCAATTGAAATTTGTATTATAATATTTTTATTTATAAATTTCTAACTACTTATAACTTATGAATAAATGGAGCGTTTGTGTTGCGGAGAAAATTTTTTTAATACTTGAACGCAGGTTTATTTGAATAGAATATTTTAAGCCCGTATAATTACAGTTTCGTTCATTATTCTCCCTTTTTTGTGTATAATGGATTATTTAAGAATGTTTAAAATATTTAATTGTTAATCAAAATTGTTAAAGAAAATTTGATCCAAAATAATGCAATAAAAAAAAACCCAATAAAATATATTATTGAAACCCTTATACATAATTGATTTTAGACAATTCAAAGAAATTGTAATCCGTATGTTTTAGAAAAATGCTCTATGAACTTGTTTTGAAGTAGCAACACTTGTTGAACAATAAGAAAGTAATTCATAACCTAAGTTTTTTATTCGAAATATTAATGACTGAATGAAGTGTTTAACTGTTTAAACGTCATATATTTTGATTTACTGTTAAACTTAATTTGGGAATTGAAAATGCATAATACAAGACGTTTCTAAAATATAACAAATTTGCAGCTAAACCCTTTGAAATGATTAATTATAACTTAATAATTCCCTATGACAGAATTTTGTTGATTTATGGCAAAAACTTAAAAATTTCAATAATTTGGATAAAAATTAATTTTACTTAAGAACTTAAGATGTCTCTGCGTACATCGTTTTGAATAATTAAGAATTCAGTTGTTATTGACATAAAATATTTTACAGCCATCTTTATGTTATAAATTATAACATAAAATTATGTTATAATTTATAACATAATTAATATGTTATAATTAATTCAAATAATTTAAATTATTAATATTTCCCGATTTGCAAAATTATAAAATTAAACCCTATAAGCAAAAAAATTCCCGTTTTCAATAAATTCTTATATTTTTAATTATAACACATAAGAAATTCATGTTGTACAATTAAATTTCAAAAAAAATTTAATGCTTTCTGCTTTAAATTAATAGCTGATTGAGTGAAATTTGCAACAAAAAAAAATTATGACAAAAACTAAAAGAAGGTATTTTTTTTCTTTGCTTTTTACAACCAACCCCCTTTTTATTGGCATTCTAAAAGTTAAAGAAAATTATTTTAATTTTTTCTTTTTATTTTTTAGATTTTATTTCAAACTCGCAAAATTTTATGAAATTTCTTAATTACTGAAATTCTAAAAGAAAAAAAAAATTTACGGAGAGAATGCAAGAAATGCACATTTGAATAAAATGAAAATCACAAATCGAAGCAGTTTTTTTAAAGGTTGCACAAAATATTTTTAATTAACCAACTTGCTTTTGTGCATAACAATTCGAAGTGTTCACATATTAAAAACAGGTTAACAAATATTTTTTTAAAATAAAATTTTAAAAAGATAAATTTCATTTTAAGAATTTTAAATATTTTATAATTAAAAATTAAATTTCATTTTAGAATTTCTACATTAAATACAAATTCTAATTAAATACAAAGTATGAATTCAAAAACATTAGAAACTGATAATAAAATTGAAAAGAGTTTAAATGAAAATTTAGAATCAAAAATCTGGAATCGTGAACGTACAATTAAATTAATATTAAAAAGATTTGAATTACAAAATGAATTTAAAATTAAAAATAAACGTAAAGATATTTTATGGGATTGTGTTTTAAAAGAAATGAAAAATAATGATTTAGAATTTCCATTTGATAAAAATGAAATAATTAAAAAATTTTATAATTTATTAACAACATATAAAAGAATTAAAAATCGTTTTAAATCAAATGGTTCTGTTCGTATTAATTGGGAATATTATGAATATTTTGAAAAAGTTTTCGGATGTCAATATTTTAATAATGGCGGAACAACTGAAAATAATTTCGAAGTAAATGATTTTCTTATAATGGGAACAGAAATTAAAAATTCACCAACATGTTCTACAACCGACAATAGTATGAACAATAACATCGAAAATAGTGAAATTTCCAAAAATATTAAAAATTCTGATAGTGAAATTATAGAAAATTTTGAAATTCAATCAAAAATTGAAAAAGATTCTAAAAATATAGCAAATACATTAAATAAAAGAAATCATATTCAATTGGAGGAAGAAGGGCAAGAAGAAGATTGTAAAATTTCAAATAAGAAACTCAAAATTCTTGAAAAATTTAATGAAGAAAAAAAAGAAATTTTGAAACATAGAAATTGTGAAAAAAAGCATAAATCAAGAAATGATCGAAAAAATATTAAAAAATATCAACATGAAAATGAACAGAGTGAACTTTTAATTTTTAAAAAACTTTTAAAAGTTGAAAAGCAAAAAATTCAAGCAATTAATGATTTAACAGAAGTCTTAAAAAAATTGGTTTAATTAAAATTATTTTTTGTACCTTGTTGATTAAATAAAAATTAAAAATTTTATTTGATTTTTTTTCAAGTAAATTTTTTATATAAAAACTCCTTAATTAACCCATTTTTTCCTAGTTCAAATTTTATGATTGCATCACGTAATTGAGTTACCGCGCGCTTGTCAAAATTTATTGTACATTAACTAGTGGAATTCTTATTGAATATTTAAATTAATTACAGAATTTTGACCTAAATTAAATATAGGTACTCAAAATCATATTAATTTTCTGTGAAGGTTAAGAATTAGACAATAGAGGGACTGTCATGAAAATATTTTATGAAAATTATTGTATTTTTTATGTTACAAATTTTATGATTTTTAAACAGAAAAATTTCACAATTGACAAATATTTAAGAATAATAAATTTTTTTTTTTTTAAAAAGATACAAAATTATTAAAATAAATTACACTAAATGTCTTATTTTATGCTATGTCAACCTTGACATAAATAATAAAATTTTTAAGTATTTTATGTTAAAGGTAAAAATTTTATATTTAAATTTTAATGTTAGAATATTTAATTAATTATTTTAAATTTTAAGTACTTAAACAAAGTACTATTATAAAATTTTTACATTTAATGCAAATTAATCATAAAATGATATTAGATGCAATTGTCATGCACTGTGTACAGACTAGAATATAATAAAGTAATCAATTGAATATACAGACGACCGCAAATTTTTGACGTTTTAGTAAATACTAATTTCTGAGTATAGTCTTAATTACGAATCTGGATTATTTTTAAAATGCAAACTAAATTTCAATTTCAAGATTTACAAAATTAAAAATTAAAATTTAATTTAATCTAAAAATTAAAATTTGCCTAGCTTTTTTAATTTTAAAACTAACTTTAAATACATAAAATAAAATTATATCAAAAACAAATGTTGCCATATGCATAAAAAATGGTTGTCAATTTGTTTTTAATAATAATGCGGAAAATTTGACATTTTCTGTAATAAATGCTAATCAATTGATGTTCAGATAACAACACAGAAAGCATCTTTTTGGGATATAAAAATTCACGAATTCAATTTTTATGTACACACAGGTGAATTTCCAAAATTGTGTGTTTTTAACAAAAGGTGTAAAATATGAATAACACTTGTTTAATATTTATCACTCCGTTCTTTTGTATTGGAAAACATAAAAAATAAAATGTGTTAATTGCTACTTTTTTTTTTTCTTTAATATTTTTATCTTATTTAGATTTCATTTAATTTTAATAATTTTTTAGATTGTGATAAGCTAATAATTTGCCTCTTTTTAGTGAATGACGACAATGCTTTTAATAATATTAGCATTTCTATACTTTATTCATATTACACTTAACCTAAATACATACATACGTATACAAATTCGATAAATTTCGTTGAATTGATTAGAGATAAAAAATTTTTTTATTGATTTACTCATTCTATTGATTTTTATTCGGATAATTTTTATAAATTGAATAAAAATGACACATTTAGTTATGTTATGGCAAAATATGCTAAAATAATTTTTTTCGATATTCAAATATAATTTGAAATTTGCTTTAGATTGCTAAAATTTAAGACAAATTTTAAATTTATAAGAATTTGTAATGTGATCGCGCCCATTTCTTTTTTGTATTTAGAATTTTAATATTAAAAGAGGAAAAAAAAGTTGTAATCAAAACACTTTCCAATATTCCCCATGACATTCCGAAAAGGAAAGAGTGAAATTTTCGATTTTTATGATTGAATCAAAATTTAATTGCCATAAAAAATTTAAAAATTTTAAAAGAGCGTTAAAAAAATTATTTTTTTTGTTTTACTGTTTCCGCGTGAACCTTTCAACTCATCACCCCCCGTGTTGTTTGAATATTTTTTTTTACAAATAAATTTGAATAAACCATGTTTTGTTTTAAAAATTATTTTGTGATACAAATTAAATTTGAATTCTTTGAATATCTAAATGTTATTTTTCGATTATAACACGGGAATTTAGACATAAGTATTTATGGTTCCAAATTAAATTGAAATGTACCTACCTTTAAAATTTTAAGAAATTTCAAATTTAAACAGACTAGGCGCTCCTATATATATTTGATATTAGAACACTATAATGAGCATTCCACTCATTTGAAGGATTGAGTGGGTATACTAAGATCTAATACAGATCTGTCCGGATTTTTGATCGGAATTCTTATGGAATACATACTCGTAATGTTAGTCAAATTAAAATTCATCAACACTTTATATTATGAATAGACGATGAGGTACAAGTATGTTGTAAATATCAAGTAAGTTGTATGTAATAACTTTTACATTATACTTAGTAATTATTGCAACATTTACTGTTGTGACAGTGAAAATATAAACATAATAACAACAACCCTATCCTATAGTTGCCTAAGTAAAACCATCAAATTTTCAATGTTACAAAAAAACATGTACTTAATTTACAAGATCTCAAATTTCAAATCTCAAAATATAATCGAAATCATAATGGTAATTTATGTATGTAAAATGTTGTTCTCTAATTAACACGTAATTTTCGTTATCTTTAAAAAGTTTAAAAGATTAAGTAGACAAAAATAAAGAAGAAGAAATCAAAATTTTGTTTTTTTTTTCTTTTAATTTTTGATTAATTGATTAAATTTTGATCAATATGAGAAAAAAATTTTTAATAACATCAATATGACAACTAATTATAAACGGTTATGTTGTTTAGACAGTAAATATGTTTTTTTATTAAGTATGTAGAAGTATGTAGGTATACAGAATATTTTCCGAAATGTTACCATAATTTTCTTTTACCTAACTATAAGATATCTAAATGCTCTTATCAACAAAATAAAAATATTGCTGTCACGTCACATCATAATCACACGAACCAGCGTAAAAAATTAAAATAATTTTTAATTTCGAGAGAAAAATAACAATAAACTATAACAATAACAACAGTAAGAAAACAACTCGCATGATTCTCGTTATCAGAACATTTTTGTAAGTGTGTATGCAAGTAAGTCTATGAATATGTATGTATATATATATATGAATCATCAATAATTTTTTACTCAAAATTCACAGGTAAAATAATAAAACGGTATTCGTTTCAAACATGTTCAAAAATAATCTTAAAACAGAGACGTGGAATTTGTTTTACTAATGATAACAAAATATTTCTTTTTATTTAATAAATATATAAAGATTAACATAATAATAAAAAATATTTAACAACTTAATATATTAGATGACATTTTGACCTTTTAACAACATTAACAATATTGTAAATAAACTGTCATAACATAGAAATTTGTGTGTACACATTCACAACATTTTGAATCTCAATTACTATCGCTGTTCTTAGTAAGTTATACTTAATAATGCAAAGCACTGGTATACGTGAATGAAGTCATTTTAAATTAAAAATGACTAAAATAAAAAATTAAATTTATTTTAAATGCAAAATTTGATTCGTGGCTGCCTAAGCAGCGTGATTCAAATATTTTTGTTTTAATCAAAAATTTTACTTTGATAATGTAGAACAAATTTATTGCAATAAAATTTTTAAATTGAATAAAAAAAAATTTTTGGTTTATATGTAGGTATTTTGCTGACATAAACACATTTTAATATTTTATATTGTAAGTAAATTCAATAATATTTTTGAAGTTATGGAAAATTAAGGGTGACTAAAAGTGTAATTAAAAGAAATAGAATGGAAAACAAGGATATTTAAGACGAATTTCTATTGCAATTTAATTTCCAGTAGAGTTTTAGTTTTTATGCTATTAGCAAAAAGACTCTTTGTTTCTTGACACGTGAAATAGTTAAAATAAAATTTTTGCTCCGAATTTAATATTCTAAATAATTTAATGAGAAAAAAACATTTCCAACTTAAATAGAGATGACAAAAGCAGGACAATAAGATGAGAAAGAAACGTGACAACAAGCTGGAATATAAACCGTCTAAAAAAATAGGATGGTTGGTAACCTTAGAAAATAGTTTTTGCTTATTAATGCAATAAACTGTTTTCTGTAAAAGTTTAAATTTCGATTTTTTTTAAGTAATTAAAATATTTAGTTTTCAAAATTTGCTTGTGTTTGCTCAATTATAATATAGAGAAATACACACACCTGTGCATATAAGAATAAAAATATAACAACTTAGGTTATGCACTCTCACATTCTCCACTCGGTGATATTTTAAATTTTCATTTAAATATTTTTTATAAATTCACCAAATATTTTGCATTCTTATGTCTTAAATTGTTTCTTGCACACAAAAATAATAAAAAATAATTAAAAATAATAGAAAAACATAAAATAAAATTTATGATACACTTTAGGTATGTATGCAAAATAAATTTAGGTCAAATAGGTTGCGCTTATTATAAAAATAATCAAGGTGAAAGAAAAATAGTTTATAATTGAATGCTATATTAAACAGAAGCAAACGACATCTACAGAAGTAAATAATAAGTAGAAACAAAATAATTTAAAGTTCTTATTCTTAGGTCATTAAGAAATTTGTTATCCGAGTGATAATGTAAGTTAGGTACTTGCAATCCAACAACATTATCTAAAAGTTAATTATTTTTTTCTCGATAAATATTTAATTTATATAAATAATTTCAATTTATGGTGCATAAACTATACACACCTAAATTATATTTAGAATAAGTAATATTATTAATATGTTTGGGAAATTGAAATTAGAATTCTTAATTCTAATAAGTAAAAATATCAAGTAGTTATTTATAACGATTTTATATACCCTATCCGCATAATTAATAATGTCCTTTCTTATATATTTTTTTAATTCAAGCACAATAATTAATTGATAATAGAAATGTAATTAAAAAATTTTAGGTGCAACAATATAGTGCAACAATATTTACACCCTTACAGCACCATTTAAGGTAAGTTTGTGCAAGTAATACAATTTACACCATATATTATACCTAATATAATTAATAAATTATCATGTGTGATACAAGATTTCCTAATCCTGACAACAGCAAAAGTTCGAACCGTCAAACTTATTGCAAATCTACAATTTAACTATTTTTTACGTTTATTCCCAACTGTCATTGAATTTATTAATACAAAAGTATTTTTCTTTAATTCGAAATCACAAAAATTGTTTTTATTAAATTCAGTATTATTTTTAATTGAATGTATTAGAAAATTAAAATCTTACCACTGTAATTGATTATCTTGACAATTGCAATCATTAAAATATGATTTTTTATCACGATTTATGCAAATACCATTACATAAATTTTTATAATGATCATTATTATTATCATAATCACCACTACTACTATCATCATCATTATTATTGTTAATATTAAGACTATTATAATATTCTTGAAATTCTAATTCTACTTCATCTTTAATTTTTCTTTTTATTTCTTGCATTTCTTGTCGACTCGGTTTTACATAATAATAATTATTATGTAAATTTGATTTCTTATTATCCTTTTCTTGTTGTAATTTATTCAATTGTTCCTTATAATAATTTTGTTCTTTGTCCTGTTGCTGCTGTTGTTGTTGTTGTTGTTTTTCTATTTTATTTATATTATTACAATTATCAATATTATTACAATGTTTACAATGACAATAATCATGACAACATGATAATATAATTATTGAATTATTAAGATCATCATCATCTTCAATTCCATTCTTTATTTTTGAAGCAATTCTATTATAATTATTACTATTATAATAATTACTATTCTGTTTAAATATTAATGATGATGGTGATTTTTTTTTAATATCATTCAAATCTTGTTGTTCATTTTGTTTTTTATATTCGGTACAACAAGAATGATGATGTGTTTGAAATTTTAAAAAATATTTTACTTTATCATCAATGTACTCTTCAATATTAATTTTAGCTTGTTTTTTACAACGTTTAATAAATTTCGGTAGAAAATTAATTATTATAATAAAATATATAAAAAATTCAATATATGACCTTTTTTCATAAAGGTATGTCGTCCAGGTTTCGTCGCCAGTTAATTCTTTATCCATTTTTTAAAATTCCTTTTTTTTTTTTTCAATCCTTTTTCTTTTCTTGCTAAAATCTAAAAATAAATAAATCGTTGTTTTTGCAGAAAAAAATTATTTTTCTTTTTAATAAGCAAAATGAATTCCAGTTTGATTGCGTAACAAAAAAAAAAAAAAAATTTTTAATCCCAAAAATAATGTGGTGATCTTCTTCTTTAAATCCCGCAGGTAAATTTTTGTTCTCTTTTTTTTTTTAATTTGAATTTTCTTCTTAATAAAAAATTATTTTTAATTTTTATTATTAATTAAACAATTTTACTTTATTTTTTATTTTTATTTTTATTTTTTTTTGATTAAATCTATAATTTTTTTTTTTCAAAAAAATTCCCAAATAATCATAGATTACTGAGGTGTGTAATTATTTTAAATTTTATTTATTTTTTGTTTTATTTTTCCTTAATTTTAAATAAAACCGGTAAAAAAGAAAATCTTATAGCCGATAATTTTTAATAAGCCGCTTACAATACTAGTTTTATACAAGTGGAATTTAATAAAAAAAAAAAAACCCGATTTAATTTTCATTGATTTTTATCAGTAAGTAAATTTTTTTTTTCTATTCTTTTGGTATTTGTAAATTTAATTTATTTAAATTATAATAATATTTTCCTTTCCTATAATTTATTATTACTTATTATAACACATAATAATAATAATACTAATAAATTAAATTAAAAGCGACTAAAAAACGTTCTTATCAAAATTGAATCGCGACGCTGACTAAAAACTTTTGTACAAGTACAAAAAAAAAATCCACAGTTTTCATGTTTTTTTCTTTGTTTTTATTTTTATTTTTCTTTATAAAGAATTTATTTTTGTAAAATTTAAAAAAAAATAAAATAAAAGAAAAAGTTGAATAAAAATCTTTGTTTAAGCGCTTTATAAAATAAAAATCTCTTTTCCGTTTTTTTTTTTTTTTAGAGAGGCAGACACAATGAGAATTTGAGAAGAAAATATAAAACACTCACTAAATGAGACTAGTGTAGTGAATAAAACGAACAAAACAGTGAGTGAACTGGTAAAACTGAGTCAACCATTTACAGGAGAATTAAAAAATAAAGGAAACAGGGAACTAAAGAGAAAAGAATAAAAGTGAGCAAATGAACTGAAGATAAAAAAAAAACACATTTTAATTTCGGTTTTAATTTTAAATAAAGAAATGGACTTAAAAATAAAAAGAGTAAATTAAAAATTGTTTAAAGCAGTTTGATAAGCGCTTAATTTAAAAAGGATTAACAGCAGTTTGATAATAAGATTTAAATAAGACCGATTGAAGGTCTGATTTCGCTATTTTACTCGGCAAGTGAGAAGAAAGTGAGTAACTTATCGTATTTTATATTTTGGTAATATTATTTTCGAGAGAGAACAGTATTGTGTATCACCTTTTTTTTCTGAAATGTATACAAAATTTATTCACTTTGTTCTTGAAAGTGAGACGTTTAGTCGATAATTTGAGAAAAAATTCTTAAAATCCAATTGAAAAAATTAGTAATCTTATCGGAAAATGAAAAATCCATTAGAAAAAAGGAAAATTCTGATTTGAAATTGAATAAAAATTGAATAAGAAAGCGAGATAAGCGATTAGAGTGGGGATTTTTCCGTTTTAAGCAAATTCGATCAGTGTCATTCAAATTTGTAACTTTGGTGCAGCAGCAGTTGTTTATTTATTTTCTATGTTGATTTCCTTCAAGTTGACGTTTTCGGGTTTTTATAATTGACGCGTATTGTCAATTATTTTAAATGACAATAACATACATACTACTTTTTTTTACCGATAGCATTGTATACAATAAGGGAGGTTATGTTATCGCACTATTAATATCATATACCTAACTACATTAATACAATCTTAATTTGAGTTTTAGGTACTGTATAGGTATAAAGAGAGATATTATAACGTTAACGAAATGTAATGAATTATCAAACACATAATTGTCTAGGCAAGCAATGTTGTCTAAAATAAAATGTAAATTAATCAATTTTAAGATCAATATAAAACTGTAGTGTCCCTATATATTGGAATAAATTTAATTTTACCATAATAAAGAAGGAATAAACAGGCATTGCACACACTGGCATACCTACTATCATATTATATTAGGAAAATAAATAGACTACTTAATGTCACTGTCATAATACTAAAAATAATAATAATTTTTTTGAATTTTCGATTTTTTTTTTAACGTCAAAAATTAATGAAAAATTTCTTCACACATTTTACAAAAGAAAGTCTAAGAATACCTACATATAATTTTCCGAAAATTCAATTAGATAAAATTTTGCAAGTGTTCTTTATAATTTGGCAATTAAAAATTGTAATAAATAACATTAATTTATTTATAATGGTTGAATGAGATCTAGGCAAAATATTTTTATTATTTACGTATATAATTTTTTTATTAATTAATTTATAAAAAATAAGAAAAAATAAATGATAATAAAAATAGAAATTGAATCACATTTTTTTCACATTTACCTTGAAATTTTATTCATTTATGTTGGGGCGCGATCAGTTTATCAACTGAAAATTCAAGTACCTCTATACCTCCTACCTTGTCTTTATTAGACTTTATAGCGCAAATATGTGCAAATAAAATTTCTCTCAAAATTAAATGACTTTGTAGTCATGTACAATATACATAAGTATGTATATGAAAATATGTTGTAAATTTACTCTTAGTGTGTAGAGTAAAAATTTTGTACAAAGAATATTTTATTTTTCATTATTCGAAATGAAATTTTCTTCAAAATTTATTATCATTAAAAATCAAATTTAAAAACACACACAACCATTAAAATTCAAAATCGTAAAAATAAAATAATTTTTGTTTTTATTTTATTTAAAATATTTTTAGTTCTTAATACCAAACCCACTTACTATCTATCTATAAGTATGTATAAGAAAAGATCATATTTTTAGCAAGAGAATGCGGTCATTTTAGTATACAAAAGTAACAAAATAATATTCTGAACTCATTTTTTCAATTATAATATAAAATTTATAATAATTTAGCATTATTTACTTTCCTGGTTGATGGGGGGAACCAGAAAAAAAAAATTTTAATTATTCAAGACAAAAAATGATTTATTTTTTGAAATTTACTATTTTAAATACATAAATTATAATATAAAAATAAAAATAAAAAATATTTCTCCATTGTTTTCCATCCAAATTACAAATAAACAAGAAGATTTTAAATGAAAATTGTCAAGAGTTCAAGAGCTTTTGTGTTGAGCAAGACCAAAAATGTAATTTTCTAATATTTATAGTCTTTGTTTTTTTGGCGGAAGATTTTAAAAATTTTTCAAATTTTAAAAATATTTCAAAATTTTAATTCAAAATACACTATACGTTTGTGTAGTGTATTTATACAATTTATGTGTGTTTGATATTTTAGAAAATAAATCATGATTCAGGAACAATAATGTAAAATTGATGATTCAAAATATAAAATTTGTTTAGAAACAAAGAGACAGACTACATATTTTGTTTAAAATTTGAATGATTAATTTTTTTTTATTTCAACGAATAAATATAGCTCAGTTCAATCAGTTCATTGGCAGCGTTCACTTTCGGGAATATTGAGTAACCTGTTTATTTAATTGAATGGTAAAAATTTGATACGAGTTGACTGAACATTTTCATTTCAAATGTACTATTTAATTTAAATTCAAGACATGTCACACAGTTTTAGTAAAAAAATACAAGAATCAAATCAGAATCGGTTTAAAAATTCTCATCTGCATTTAACACTCATTTAGTGATATTTTAAGAGAGAATGAGTGAAATCTTTGAGTAAAAAAAGCATTCCTCCACATATTATACTTTCTCTAATGTTTATATCTCATTATCTGACGCTTCTGAAATGTCAAAATTTAAAATAAGGCTATAAATTAACACTAAAACGAAAAAAAAATTGCAATTATCTAAACGGTACCTATTTCAATTTAAAACTGAGAGAAAGAAAACTCAAAATGTAAATCAATTATTCTGTATCAAAACTTTTTACGAGAAAACTGTGATAAATTGTAATAATGTGTATGACAGTCGGTTAACAGATTTTTAGCGTATTTTAAAAGTGTTTATAAAATTGAGTATGTTGTGTACCTTGATATTTTTATTCGTATTATATACATGTGTATATACATATGAATATGCATAATTCATATAAGCACGAGTATAATATAGAGATAAAGACAAAATGTATGTTTTAGGTATCTACATACATACATACAAAACTAAACAAGCATTTTATTTAAACTCTTAAACAATTACACTATTTACAAACATACATAACATATAGCACAAAAGTACAATAAACAAGTTTAAAAATCTGAAATCGTTTATAATCGTAAAAAAGAGTAGAAAAAACAAAACTTGAGATAAAAATAATAAGAAACTAAAAAAAAATTTTTTTTTATTAATATCAAATTTGTTTTTGTTTTTTTATTATCTTACATATGCACAAACATATGCATTATAGTTGTTGTTGCTGGTGTTGTTATTCCTTTTTTATTCTTAATTGTATTTTTCAAAATCAAGCCTCTTCTGACTTTTGTTCAGTTCAGAGGCATAAAGACTAAACATTTTTAACTTGTCTCAATTTATTATGCTCATATTTGTATAAAGATGTATAAAATTTGTACCCATAAGGCCATACCACATGTTACTTAACATTCATACACACATACTAACATAACGTATGTATGCATATATTGTACGTATGTGTGTTTGTTTATCATGTTCATTAAAACAATCTTTTAGATCGGTTAAGATCTTGTTCAAGTTTTTTCTTTCTATTTTTTTTCTTCTTTTTGTTATTAATAAATTAATGTTAGGTTCATTATGGTAAAAAGGCGAATTAAAAGGAAACTACATATACATATATAAGTATGTGAATTGTGAACAATAATAATTCACAAAAATACAAAAAAAAAACAAACACAAAAATTGTGATTCACTCACTTTACTGTGAATTGTTTTTGATGAATATTTTTCGTTTTCTTTATTCTTTTTCTCTACTGATCACTTTATCAGCTACAACAATATTCGGGTTGAGTTAAGATCTACGATTTTGATCATTTTTATTAAATTTTATTGTGCAAGTAATTATTAATAATTTTTTTGTATTACTTTTTATACAATTATAACTAGCGTGTAATATTGAATAAGTGTTATACATACACATAT